TAATTATGATGAGACGACTTTGTTCCGGGATGCTTCGTCTTAATTGGGGCGATACATTGCGATGATGCTGCTCAAACAATTCAGCCACAATTAGTGTCAGTTCGAGCAAAAGAATGGTAAGGTAGCGGCAGCAAGAGCAACGCTTTCCTTCTCTTGCAGAGGGCTGGGCTTTCCTGATAGGGCACAGGAAGGCAATTTTTGGTGTTTATTGGGAGCACAAGGGACTCCAAGGAGACTGCATCGTCGACTAATTAAGTATCAGCTAACATGTATTATAATTGAATTTGAACAAGTTGAGTAGACATAAATGTTCTTAATAACAAACAAAAGAGTATTCTGATTCTAATTCTAATTCTATCTATATTTTTATTATGGAGTCACATTCTAGTCCCACTTAAACAGTAAGAAAGCCAGAAGTCTCCAACTTTGTACAGATGAGTCGTGTCTATGGACAACATAGGACAGATGACAGCCATGAATGCGTTGCCAACGCCCCACGCCAAATTGCTTGCCAGATAACGCGTGACACAAGTGGACAAAGCTGATGCCGTCAATCCATTTCTGTGCCTCCAGCAAGAAAGAGTTAGGCCGAGCACAGCAACGTGGATCGACCCTCGCAAAAGCATCACCTTACTGTTCATCATAATCCATCACTAACAACACATAAACTCTGCAAACAAAGTGGCAGCCACTTCACTAGATCTCAAGCCATTCTGATGCTCGATTTAGAGGCATCGTGTTGCTGTCACTGAATCGAGTTCAACATACACAAACATTGCAAAAACAAACAAACAAACAAAAAAAATCAAATAATCTCTACTCCAATCCATTCCTCCAACAAGCAAAAGCTACTTCAAAAAAAAGAAAAGAAGCAGCAAAAACTACGACCTACTTCGACCGATAACCCTCTCTCTTGGGCAGTAGACTAACGGATCAATATTAGATCAACCATACAATGACAAATTGAATGAATCAACAAAAATCCCTAAAGCAATCACGCACGCTACATTTGTACAATGGCAAAAACATCAAGCAGAAACAGAGATCTCTGCGAGAAACTGTGGTGGTGGTAATCAATCTTGATCGGACGGCGGAGGATCACCGCAGCAAGGCAGGTGATGACAGCCCCCTGCGGAGCTTGTGCGAGAAGAGACGGCAGGCGTCCATGCTGAGATCGACGGCCGCGGCGAGCGCGACGAAGGCCGCCGCGTCCTCCGCGCACCCCACGTGCTGCACCCCGACCTCCACCGCAGGGCGGCCGCTCCGGCCCTCGCCGATCACCGTCGACGACATCACGAAGCCGCGGTAGGCCGGCGACGGCGACGGCGACAGCGACAGCCCGCGCCCCAGCTTGCCGCCGCGCCCCGACGAGGACGATGTCCGCGCGAGGGGGTTGCCGCCCGCGCCGGTGAGATCGATGGCGAACTTGCCGCCCTTGGAGGCGCTGATGGTGGACTCGGCGAGGCTGACGCCGGGGCCCACGGCGGTGTCCGGGAGGAGCTCGAAGCGGTAGCCGAGGCCGTCGCCGGCAGGGCCGCCGCGCTCGCGCCAGGCCTCGAGGCGGCCCCAGGGCTGCCAGGTACCGTCGACGGGGCGAAGGATGAGCCATGCGCCGGGGTTGGAGCGGCTTACCCGGTCGGTGCCCGGGGAGGCGACGAAGGGGGTGACCATGGAGGCGAGGGCAACGGGCGAGCCTGAGAGGTCGTGGACCTTGACGGACCACCCCTTGCGTTCCTTACCGGGGCGCTCCCGCTCTGACCCGAAGGACGAACGCCACCTCCGCGGACTGCTCGGCTCCGACTGCGTCGACCTATAGGAGGGAACACAAAAAATAGGAACTTTCATGAGATCACGGCACCAACAACTTCCATTGGGTTCACAAATTTGCTCCGAATCGAAGAAAGCCATCGAATTTGACGGGCGATCGCAATGTGGAAAGCTAAATACACGGATTTTTGCAGGACAAAAGAGGCGTTTTTGTCTTCAAAAAGGTCACGAACTTTGGGCTTCAGATTAGTCCAAGAATAACAGAATCTTGGCTCTGTCGCGAAGAATCCATGAAAACAAAGACCAAACAGCTGATTTCAGGATATTCTCATGTAAGGAATGGCAATGGCGTGGAAAAGTCAGGTTTTGATGAAGAAAACCCTAAAATTTGACGTGAACAAGAACAAAGTGGTGTCTTAGGAGAGGAGAGAAGAGGAGATGATGACGAACCTTGATCTCCAGTTCCAGTCGCCGAAGTTGTGGCGGCAGCTAAAGCTGCAGGTGAAGACGGGCTGCCTCCTGTTGCCCTGGACCTGGAACACCTGCGGGCTGCACTCCGGCTCGCCGTCGAACTCGAAGACGAACCTCGGTTCCGCCTCCGCCTTCACCGTCAGGTACATCTGCGCCTTGGCCGCCCCCTTCCCAAGGCCGATCCACCCGCTGTGGAACACCACCGCCGTGCCCTCCGCCGCCTCCCTGAGATCCAGCGGCAGGGAGACCTTCCCCAGGAGCCTCCCGGACCTCACCCCGCACGTGGTCCCCATGCGGCCCGAGTAGATCGCGACCTTCAGCTTCGCCGTCCCAGCGCCGGAGGCGGAGGCGGCGGAGAAGAGGGATCTCCCAGCGATGCGGTCGAGGTCGGCCTTGGAGAGGTGGAAGCCGGCGGCGAGGGAGGCTGCGGCGGCGGGCGGGTTGGCGTCGGCGTGGTCCGGGGGGAGGAGGGGCACGGGGACGGTGTGGCGGGAGGGGTGCTTGTCGAGGCGGACGGTGGCAAAGCAGGGGTGGGCGGAGGGGTGTACGCCGGCGCCGCCAGCGGGGCGGGCGGCGACGGGAGACTTGAGGGCTAGGTTGCCGACGAGGACTCGGACGAAGGGGCAAGGGTCCATCTAGAGATAGGATGTGGGTAATGGCCGCAGGCGCTCGCTTCTTAATATTTGTGAATGGATTCGGTACGCCAATATTAGCAGCGCTTCTTCTCTCCTCTCATGGAGTGAGCGAGTCAAATGGGAGGCGGGGATGGCAAATTGGAATGGCGACTTGAAAAGGAGAGGAACCACGACAAGCACTAGCTCTCGAGATGATGAGAGGGAGGGAAGAGATGGAGGTGGCCGATGCTAGCGTCGCATACATACACGCTGGGGAAGGGCGGGTCGTGAGCTGGAGCCGCATGGGATCCTGTCGTGCGCTTAGCCATCAGCTGACGCACGTTTCTTGTGTCGGACCGAGTATTACTCGAGAAGATGTGTATACGTATTCGTTATCCGCCGTGTTAGGACAGGGGCCCAGTCCTTGGGTCCCACACTTTTTTGTCTTTTTGGGGGGTTGGGGGTGTACACGTGCCCCGTGATTTGCCTGTTCATGGATATTCTAAAAAAATAAGCTTGTTTTTAGAATGCATCAATTTTGAATCCATCGATTCCTAAAACACATGAGCCTACACTTGTGGGACCCACGCGTGGGGCCCGGCGCGTTTAGAGAGAAAATTTGGATGGGAGGGGGGAGCCAAACTTACCCAATGCAAACTTGTTATGTATATAAGCCTTACAGAGTTTAATAACGAAAAATAATTTAAACTCGAATCAAAGAGGTCAATTTTTTTAAACGTTCATCACAACATTTGCATTGGGAAAAAAATTTAATGCAAGAACAAAAAGAACTCATATCAGAATTCAAACATATATATATATATATATATATATATATATATATATATATATATATATATATATATATATATATATATATATATATCGATTGTAACTGAGGATATAATTAAGTTGCATAAGAAAAAAAAATCCTTAGATGTTTTGAATTATTTATTCAAAAGATGAAGAGATTGATGAAAATATTACTTGATAGAATAAAAACTAAATAGTTAAAATAGGATAGAATGTTAAATTTTTTTATGCCATCATCATATACCTTTTAGATTAAAAGAAATTATAAAATAATTATTAGGCCATCCATACTGTATGTGTGCAAGTATTCGACAGTTATCCATGAATAATTAGATATATCTTCTTAGAAGATAAAAAAAATGATCATTTCATATGGTATAACTATGTTCTTAAAAAATTTATAAATACTGTAATTAGAGGATGTAAAATAATTAGTGTTCACTGTATAAGAAGAGGTAGAGATAGACATCTATGGCTTTAAAAATTATTTATAGAATTTAATATTTTTAAGTTTAACTAAGTATATAATTATAGATATCATCAGGTCCTATACTCAATCCTAAATAATTTGGATATTTTATATATATATATACATATAACTATAAAGTTTTAAAAAAAAATCAATACTTTTATGAAAAGAAGTTAATACAAATAGCAGACTGCATATAATTATAATTTAATGTGTGGATCTTTAATAAGTTGAAATTGGTTGGAGGTGAGAAGAGTGTGGAAGAAGAGACAATGGCACTGGAAACAGGTTGTCAGCAACCATGACCGCAGTTTCATCGGGATGGAAAAAGATGCCGACCTGTGTGTTTCGCCGACCAATGCTGTCCACCGTCCAGTCTCCACCCTACCTTCTGATGGCCTCCTGTCACCAGCTTTTACTTATGATTGAGTTGGGAGCCATGGCTTTAAGAGAAAGCAATGCTGAGGCAATTCCAGCTTTGCAGCTCCACTGGGGGACTCCACCTGTTTCCTTGTTGGGGTTGCCAAAGGCTACTGCATCTGCCATTGGAGCACACAGCAGCTCAAGTTTTGCGAATCCCAAGACGTAGAATCATTGATCTGCATCGGTGAAGGAGATCAGCATCCTTTTTTTGTTTTGGGGATCACATCAAACCTTGAATCTGTCATGACCAAACATAACACATTTCTGTTGTCACTATTGTCACAGTGTATTAGAGAACAAACAAGCTCAGCATATTGGCTGTTCTCAATTACTGTTCCTGTAATGACAACTATAATGAACGCCTAAGCCTTCATGTTGGTTTCATGGTCATTTATATATATCTGTCGCTTTAAAACTGTGTCAACATTTGCGTCTGACCAAAGTGAATTAAGCTCATGATAGTATACTTCTTGAAAAGAAATAATTAAATCACGAGAGTCTGAAACATTAATCATGTCTCAAAAAAAGGGTTGAAATGATGGATTCTTATCAAAACACTGATCTACCAAGGTTCAGAAAGTGTTGCATAACCAGGGCATGAAGAACATCCTCAACGGGAGGGGAGTCACTCTAGCTTTGCAGAATCCTGAGGTTGATGTGCATTCCACTGCACCAGCATCCATATGATTGATGTGCCTGAGGAAAAGGCAAGAGAATCCTATAAGCAAAAACAAAAATTATCGCAACAAAAATGGTTGGTCGTGCTTATTTCTTGAACAAAAGCATACAGCGAACCTTAAATATTAGGAAATAGCAACAGTAGCCAGCAGATTCCATTCAATACCATAGGATCTGTTTTTTCATTTGCTCACCTAATTTTCTGTGACTATATGAAGCAAAAGCTGATGCCCTCTTAAAGCAGGTTCATTTGACAGAATTTTGGATGTTCTATGTGCTAGGAATTATTAGGTTCAGTTGTCTGATCATTGTTTTGAACAGATAACAGGATATTGTGATCCATGGAAACAATGCCAACGATTAAACTAGGAAGCACTACAACACTTATCCAAAATATCATTATATATCTCTTTAATGCGCACTTTACAAAGAAATTTTAACATGTATATCTTTTCCTCAAGGACTCTAAAATGCCTTTTTTTTTTCCTTCTCCTGACAGGTCCTTCGCTCCAAAAGCATACCAACGATGTCCTCTTTTTTAGCCAATAAAGATGGCAAACAACAGAAGCTTACTACGTATACCAGGTGAAGTGGCAAAACAATTGGCTTGATGCTAAAGGGGCCAAATCTTGTCTATAAATTAATGTCTAGCATATTAACTATTCATACCAACTACTGAAAAAAAATTCAGAAGTCAAGTATTGAAAATTATAAATTTCACAGGCTGTTTAGCTGATAAAAATCTTTATCTGTCAATTTGATGGAGCAACATGAATTTGGAAATAAAGCAGGAAAGAATAACCGATCTGATCCTCGTGTTTTTAGGTCAGTCAGCAATTGATCGCTACTTGTGGATAACAATATCCAAACTTTTTAATGATGATAAATTCTTCAAATTAATCTAGTCATCGAATACTATATCATTTTAGATATTTGTGGCTATAATTTTGTAAAGTTCATCATAGAATGCTTCTGTACAGTACAATAAAATGATGATTTGCAATGAGCATATTGCATATGCTTATAGAGGGCCCTAGCAAGATATTGTCAAAGAGTGGCATCAGATTATATGATCTAATCCACAGTTCATTACTTTCACTTATGGAGATAAGTCTCTGATTTTCATATTAGTCAAACAACAAAAGTTCTCTGCTTCGAATAGAAGGTGATTCCTTCTATGTGGTGGAAAACTTCGTCATTAGATCTAAATTAGATGAAGCAAAGCTACCTTGGTTAGCTATGAGTTCCTAAACATCTCAGCAGTCTCAAGCATATTCTGCACAAATACAAGCCTCAAAGCATTAACACTAGTGGCTTATTCATTCAGGAATTTCCTAGGGAACCTAATAGGGTAACTATATATTACATTGAGATCTAAGAGCCACAGTAAGGTGAATTATAATGAAGATTGAGCAATGATATCATATGGCATGACCGATCTACACTAAATTGCATCATTGAGAATTACACAGGTTTCAGACATCTTCGATGTAAACCTTCTTTTGAGCCTCAAGTAGAAAGATTTTTTTGTTAATGTATTAGAAAGGAAATAATGACCCACATGAATGATGCAAATTAAGTTAAAATTTAATGCCTAACAGAAAATTTTACTAAAAGAGCTTAGAAAGAACACCCAATCAGCGTAAATAACACAGACTATAAGGCATCAAGCAGCAGCTTGTTCAATCCATATTTCTCGTGAGCATATTAAAAATGCACAGTTTGATTTTATTAGAAGAAATAAGAAAGGAATTACTACTCTTAGGTTGACCAGAGATACTGGTTTCAACTACACTCAACCATAAAACAAGACGCATAATTGTTGTTGTTTGATATCTAAAAATTTATCATTATATTAAAAGGACAAAGTATATCACAGTGAATAATGGGGACATGCATGAGAGATACGAGCGAGATACCAGCAAATATTCCAATAGTTGTCAGATTTGATGCAGCCATTGTATGGTATATCAGATACTCAGTAAGAAAATGACCAAATGCATATATGAAGGACAGCAAGGTTGCTGTGTAGATAGGCTTATTCTGAAGGTTGAATGCACAAAGAAAGCAGAGTGTGCAGGTCAGGAGAGTCCAGACTCCAAATGTTCGGCCATGAACATCAGTCACTACATTAAAAACACACACATCAGAATCAGAAACAAACATAACTATCATTAATCTACAAAAATTTCAGGATATACTGAATCATGAGGCAGAGATCTAGCACAAATTGAAGCATGAAACCATAACATCACAATATTTTTGAAGGAAAAAAGAACAGACTATGTACAAGAACAGAAGAAAGAAATAATAAAATTTAAGATGGGAAAACTAGTGCTAGGACCATGATTAACAGTCTTTGACACTGACAGAGAACTCAGAAAGTGTGTGAAGTGACGATCTTTTACCCTATTCGATCCTTGTACGACGAAAAAACTGACCGGCATCCTAACAGAGTGACCGAGCCAAACCACAACAGTTCTAATAGCGCTACACCGAAGAAGTGAAGACATGAGAAGAAGACTACTTTGTGTCTGGGAGAAGACGGCCATGCGCAAGGCCCAGATGTCGAAGAAGCCGAACCATACAGTTACGAGGCGAAGCAAGCCGACCAGCATCAGCCACCACCCGAGCGCCTTCATCTGTCTTGTGTTTCGTTGAGGTAATTCCGCAAGCAGGTTATGGGCGCGGTGCGCAAAGCCCACAGACCAGTTGCCTTCTGAGCCGAACTCGGTCCGCCCCGAGATCAATATGCATGTACTTACTTTTAGTGCGGTTGTTTGGAATCACTCGGCATGGGTTTTATGCTTTGGTCCGCTTCGGCTTGCTACGACGGTCTGTGATTTGGTCCGGTTCAGTTTCCCACATTCATACGTTCTGCGTTGCATTGAGTGACTCGATCGGTTTGGTTTGGTTCGATTGTGAACCGAACCGAACCCGGATAAGCCTATCGTATTTGATTGGTTAATTCAAATTTATTTAATGGCTAAAATTGCATGGTTTGTATCACAATTACCCAATAAAACCCCATAGATTGGTCTAATGTTGGCAGATCATTTTGGGGCCATGCAGATTGTGAGATCCCAAACCCCTAATGCAAATTGAAGATGGCAACTAATTAACATGACAATTAGACTAAGAACAGTGGTGACATATTATAACCAAGTTTATAAATCTAAGCTAGAGGGCCAGAAAGCTAAAACATTGTCAATTTGATCAGCAGAAATAAGAAACTTTAAGCAGCTTAAAATTACAGAGAAAAGTCCAAACCATATCAATTTGTTTACATTATATACCTACAATTCAATCCCACAATAGAACCCATGAATACATAGAAAGAAGACTAACCCAGAAAAGTTACATGTTGCAACAAGAATCCTGATGAATCTAGTATCACTACAATTGCTTCTTATACTTTGAATTCAGCACTTACTAAGGGAGACAAGACTTTCATGATCTGAACCTGAAAACTAGTTGTAGATGATCGTACATCACGGACCGAAACGGAACATGCCGTCGACCATGAATTGCCCATCCATGAAGAGAGCTGAAGCAGAAGAAGCATTGCGTGGATGGAAACCATCCATCACGACGAACTGCATGTCCTCGGATGGTTTCCAATGCCTCTTTCTTTGGTTTATAAACCAGTTGTTGATTTGCTTCTGATCAAGACCTGTAGATTCCGCCAACGCCATCTTCTCGGTTTCCTGCTTGTTGCCAGGTACAATTTTCCATCCAAAGTTATATAGAGGCTTTCTTGCTCTATACATATCAACTAATTTTAGCATAGAAAGGGTTGGTGAATGTAGGGAAATGGAACATACAGATGGATATGGCCATTTGTAGTGCAGCTCCCACCAGTTGAGCAGCTTCTGCCGGGCATCCTTTGGCAGCTTTTCTTTCTTCTTCTTCTTGGACAGCTCTTTCCTGAGGGTGCTTAAATAGCCACCATACTTCTTCAAAAGGTGGTGCTTCAGCTCTTTGTCCTCTGCGTGTGGGTCAACCTCTGGAAGATCTGCTTCTCCTCCACCGGCATCCTGATCCTCTTCAGAGGAACCAACACCTTCACATATTTCATCTTCAATTTTCAAATGAAAAAGGAAACCAGATATAATGTATCATCATAGTAATATAACAACAAATCCATTCATGTAGGAAAAGTGACCAGTGGCAAAGTATAGTCTAAAATGATTCGCATACATGCGGTAAAGTGGCCCGGGTAATCAGAAAGATCAACTGGATCAAGTAGCTAGAACAAGGTAATTGCTAAGCATGAAAGAGTAGTAAGTTCAAACTAGTAAATTTCTCTCGGAGAGGCTTTTGTGTACCGACGAAGACAAGCAGAATGCATGACTTGAGATGATATCAGTTCATAGAATTGACCATAAAACTTCCAAACAAGTCAGCATTGCAATGATTTTATATGACAATAAAAAGAAGGATTCAGTGTGAAGATCCGGTGCATACGCTGACAAATAGAAACCACATGGTGCCACATCCCATGCTCTCGAGTTTAGTTACCAGTGACTGCTAATTGTAGTCAAGAACTTAACTAGAGATGTGAAATGCAAAAGTATCTCATGCTGTAAAACTATATGCATCAAGAAGAAAATAATGTTCCTCTTACTGGTTCACTAGGTTATAGTCATAATGGATCTAGGTAAATGAAAACAACTAGTCCTTATTTAGTCACCTAAGAAATGGTCACAAGAACATGGTGTTCTTTCATAAAGTAAAATGCGGTGGAGAAACTGGATCTCAAGTATTTATTCTGGGGATATAAAGCAAAGAATTGCTTCAGCATTTTGTGACCACTTCTGTGATATTAGATTAAAAACCTCTATGTCCAATGGTACAATGGAGTTTAATCGAGCTGCATTTGGAGTCGGCCAAGTGAGATCTCAAGAAAGTTCCGACTCTTTCTGTTATTGTAATATCAACTGCAGCAGAATAAATTACATATACTGCACTTTTTCCAAATGCAAGAAGGATGAGTTGGGTCAATGAATTTAAGCCAACCAGTAAGATTAAGTGCTCGTTAAAAATCACATACAAGATTAAGGTTGAGAATATAAAGGTGCACCTGAATGATTTGACTGATTAAACACAAGCTACTTTTGTTCATTGTCACTCAATAATGAACGGCTTCATGATGTTATAGGAGGTTATCCACCTATGCTACCTACAGATAAAAATGGGACCATGACCGAAATCAATCTCAATAGGATTGAAAGCCACCATCAACTCGTTACCAGAAAGAAGCATGCCCAATATATATGACTCCCATCAATGTCGAGGTTTAGGGAAGGTTACTGTATGCAACCTTAATTACCATGGCACCAAGACTCTTCGTCTGAGATTTAGCTGAACAACAAAGATTTAAAGTCATCTCATGGAATCGATCAATAGTGTAGTCCCATAGTGCATTTTCACTTAGATGGCCAAGAAAGTGGTTCATCTCATCATATCAATCCCTAAATCCCATATGGATACATACATGAATATCTATTATAGTTTATATTGATGTTTGAGTAAAACCTTGGTAAGATTGAAGATTTTACTAGACAAATCCCTTGACATTTCAGTTCAGGATCTTAATTAGGTGCCCATGTATGGCAAAGATTAGGAGATTAATTTTTTTTATCGAGACAAACTTTCAGAATTTTCTGATGGACTTTGTGAGGTGATGAAATGAACTATTCACCATATTTATAAAGTCTCTTAATCTGTCTTAAATCTTTACATTTTCCGCCCTATTTTTCCTTCTTTGCTTATTTTTTCCTACTAAAACTCTCTCTTGAAGGTGCTATATTCCTTCAATACAAGAAAACATTTGATAGGAGGTGCAGATTTTATCATGCAAAGAACATAACATAACCTTGTAGACTCTTGTTGCAGTTATTTTTCTCTCTTAAGTTCAATCACTACGAGATTTGATCCATTAATGTGCTCTCCATATTTAAATTCCAAATCCATTCCATTACTTTCCATACATTTTCAAACCCATTCCCTCAAAGAAGTCTTTAATTTTTTCTTCCTCTACATATTTCATATATCCAAATCTTCTTTTAGTATCAAGTTTAACTGAGCTCAAGAATTTTACATTATAATTTAAGTGGCATTTGAAGGTAGGTCAGTAAGTATCACATTATTCTTCTGACCATGATCGAACCATCTACATGAATGATGTAAAAAGTAAAAACTATTATCCATTAAATGTGCCATTCAAAGTGTAACTAGAGTTAGATAATAATAATTTTCCTTGTCAATCTAGTAACTTTAAGTGCCTATTTTGATTGTTATGTTTCCAAAAGACCATATTATGGTATTTGATGTCTTTTAGATCTTTAACCGGCAACAAAAAGGCTGTTCGGTAGATGATCAACGGAGGTACTGAAAGCATTTTTCTACTAGAAAGTAGAAACTAAACTGTAAACAATCATAACAAATTAGTAACTCACAGTTCAAGTGTGCTTCTGAAGCCAGACAGAATTATCATTTTGATTCCTATATAGAGTTATTCTGGAATCAAACATGGCTGTACTAATAAACATTATGAATAACTAACTCAAGTGTGCTTTAGGTACTTATGTTTATCAGAGTTATTAAATGTATGCCTATGAAAATATTATTTTGGAATTAAACATGGCTCTATAAACAAGTTATTATGAATGACTATAAGAACTTTGTAAATTGCTTTTAATACTTATTCACACCTACAAGTCTTTTTTGGCAAATATCCTAAAGATCTAATTAGAGAATAACTTTCTTTGAAGAAACAAGTTTCTTAAACTTACATTGTCAATCGCCAATTTTGTGACAAGACCAAATGCTCTTAATTTAGAGTGTCACTCAATACCTTTGATTTCATCAAAAAAAAATTTCTCAGAAGTCATCCCACTAATTATGATTCAAAAGAATATGATACCATTGTCTATGTGTTTATTCAACATATGGGTATTTGAGCTAATCGAAGCAATGCCTTACGAACACCACAGAAGTGTATTCTAATACCTTATACAGTTGCCATTTTGCAGGGGATGACCTGAAGGACTAAACAAAGCATGACTGTTATAAGGTCTTAGAGATACCAGTTTGGTGATGTTGAACTAATTATTTGTATGACTATTATTAAGTTCCATGGCTGGATGCAAATAAAATATAGAATATCTCCACAGCAAATGGAACTTATATCTCTTTTTGTGACTGCTTTTATAGAGCATATTACTAGTGCTGTAAAGACAGGTAAAGAACGATTAAGAAAGTCTAAGTTGCATGCCTTTCCTCTATTTCTGTGTGGTGTGTGAGCTGCCCTTATTGCCCTACCATTTTCTATTTGATTTATTGGTGTTATATCTTTGCGTGGGTCATGATCTTATTCTCTTGCTAAGGGCTTATAACCATCATAAATTTATCATCAGAATTTGTGCTTATGCTTCTTCATCATTTTCTAACCAAATGTATATAAGAAACTAAAAAAAGGATGTATGAATATACAACTATTTAGAGAGAGATTGTTTTTATTGATTTAAATCAGATTTTCTTATGTCGTAGATGAGCAATCTTACCGTTAAATCAAGATTTACCCTCTAAATATATGTAAATGCTAAATAAGAACATATGCACAATGCAAAATATTAGTCATTGTTCAGTATAACCATTGGACAATGTCCAACTCAAGAACAGTATCACTGTATACCAGATAACATAATCATCTTCTGTGTTGGGGAAACACTACAACATGGCTCTTTAGCTACTGCTGAAAGAACCAATAAAGTGGAAGTAGGTGGTATCATTGCTTGATGGACGGACAAGAATAGCATCCTATGTAGTATCTTATGCATGGTTGCAAAGGAGAAAGCATCAAGACGAGATAACAGTATGAGCTGCTAAGAAACAAAGATAGTGTGTCTTCTCGAGGTAGGGAGTTCTCATTAAACCCTAAAGGAGTGCCACACGTCAGCACTCGAAATGCTAGCTTATGACGCGCCAACGTGTGGTTTCCTCATTCATTTACATATATACGGGTTGCTTGTTCCGAAGAGAAAGGCTGTCTTCCTCCTTTGTTCGCCTATAAACAATCTCAGCTAATAAACAATGGTGAGCAAAAGAAAGAAAGAGAGGAGATGAGAGGTCGAGAGGTTGGCCTTACTATGGCCTCGTGATCGTCCCGTAGGACGACTCCTCCTTTCCCACCTATCTCACACCTTATTATATTCCTTAGGAGCCAACTGCTAACCCTTTGGTATGTATATGTATGCTATATACGAGATATCTGATCAGTCAAGGCCTGATTCTGTCTTAGTTGCCGTGAAAGGTGGAAGAAGGTCTACTACTAGATATGTGTACGTACCACATCCTTTCTGCTGTCACACTGCCAGTTCTGTTCACCCCTCTCTACTCTCAGAGGCAAAGATTTTTTAGCAGCAGATGGAGACCAAATAGATCTAATCGCGTGGAGTAAAGGCTACACTCGACAAGTCAATGGTATAAGCTACTTAACAGTAGTATATGATTTTTCGAAGTATGTGTTACCAGAGGGAAAGAGGCCGCGAGTGGAACTGTCGGTGAGCGCATTAAACTGTGACTCCATCTTCTTGAGGAAGTTTGTGGCCTCTTGCAGTGGCTTCGTTAGCTCTTGCCGGTACTTGACGAGCATATCACAGTATGATTCCTGTTTTGAGTGCATATATACACGCACAGGTCACCATCCATTAGCTTTAACTGGAGAAGAGATCTAAAGAGAGAGATGGAGCGCTAATACCATGAACTGGTCGAGATCCGGGTCAGGAGAACCGTCGTTATGGCAGCCCGGCCCTGGCGAGACGTCGTGGACGATGGCGGAGAGCCTCGTCACCACCTCCGGTGGTGCTCCCACCTAGAAAGAAGCATAGGTTAATTAGTAAGAGAGGAGATCAAGGTTGTGCTGCGCATCATATGAGGGAAATGAATTGGGAGACCTTTTGGCAGTCCATAAAGGCTCCGACAAGGGTAGAGTACTGAGGATGCGACATGATCTTTGCCTTGATCTCCTCCATATCATTCTGAGAGATCTCTCCTTGCTCTTGTGTTTGTATAGCTCTCTTTTGTGCTCGAGATGAGCCAGCTTCAGTTTTAAGTGGTGGTGTTTGGAGGTAAGGCTGGGAGGTGGTGGTGTAGTAGTAGCCCTGCTCGTACACGGTGGTCCTCGTCGGCGGAGGAGCTGAAGTAGTGCAGGCGGTGGTAGCTGATGACGGGAGGTATAGGAGAGCACCCCCGGAGGTGCCACGACCACCACTGTCACCTGGGTGAGAGAATTCCTCCATGCCTCACTAGTAGACCTATCAAAAGTAGAATAACAACAAAAAGGGAAAAAAAAAAAGGAAAGCTGGCAATCAAATAAAAGGAAGATTTCTTGAACTTAATTTTCTAAGAATACAGGTCTCTTGAGAATAGATCAGAGAGGAGAGGGAAGGGGAGGAAAGAAAGCCCTAAGCAGGAAACTTGTAGCGAGAAGGGAAAGCCATCACGGCGGCTTTCGTGTCCGTTGTCAAATCAAGCAGACAGGATCTGATGGAATCCATCACCTAATGTAGTGTAAGATCAAGCAATTACAACATCTTAATACGATGCATTAGTACCACGACTTCAAGGGATTAAGACGAGCTCGAAAAGCAACGGACAAGCACAAAGACAAGGGATCTAAACAGGCCGAGCACTACTCCAAAGAACAACAGAGGGAGGAAAGTGAAATGAGATCCAAACAACCAACACCTGAGGAGCCAAAAAAAAAGAGAGTTGGATTGGAGACGTAAATGAATTGCAACACCACATGTGGGTATGCGTTTAGAGTGTACTACGCCTCACGTGCCAATCACCTCGTCCCCTTCTTCTTCTTCTTCTTACCTTTGGAGCTTCTTTTTCGATGTGGTCTGGTGAGAGAAAGGATACGACGGGAGAGAGCCTCACCATGCGTCGGTGTCGGAGCGGACTTTCTGCAACTTTATATGCTTCCTTGGAAATGATAGTTTCGTCGACAAGTTTCGGTGGCACGATGAACTCTAGCAGCTAAATTGTGTGTGTAATTGCGTTAAATTGGTCTTCATTTGTTTATTTTTATGGGTGTGGGAAAGGGAAAGATTCTTGGGAAAGAAAGAGCTCCACTTGGCTTTGCGCAATTGGTCATGGCGACACAAGAGGGGGTTTTACAGATGATGGAACTATGGAAAGCGACGTGTGTGGTTGGAAGGAATAAAAGAGAAGAAAATTACTGGATGTACTGAACCAAATCCAAAATACGATCCAAGCACTATCGAAACAAGATGGACACTGGATTTGTTGTCGGCATTGATCTAATTAATTACCAAACGCCATCCAACATATATAAATTATCCAGCTTTTTGATAGAATACTGACAAATTAATATAGTCAACTGGCACTTTCAACATCATCAAAATTCTTACCATTGATCTAAATGACCTTCTTAGTATTATACTATCAATCATCAGAAAAGAACATAATGACCTGCCGCAAACTATGATTGTGAATCCAATTATTATGATATATATATGGCTAAATTATTATACATCTAACGTATTTGCAGCAGCATATTAAGGCTCAATTCTTCATATACAAATCGTTCGTGTGCTTTGCAATCCGATGAAAGGGCAGTCATCTCGAAACCTGCAGACTTGGACCCAATTTTGATGTACTTCGTATGCAATAGGATGACCGATGCAAAAAGCTTTAATCGATATAGCATCTAAAGATAACTAAGATGAGTAATGTTTAATGTTTGAAGTGGTCATCTCACCCTGTAACTTTGCATGTAATGTTTAATGTTAACCTCTCCTTATTTTCTAACTGGTAACAATCAACAAGTAGGGTTATATTAGGGTTTGATGGTTATCATTGTTGGGAAGAGAGAGGAGAACTCGAAGATAATCCTAATTCATCGGAAAAAAAAATTAAATTTAACTAAGACTCCCAAAATATGTATCAATCATAACGATCATAGACTGTCCATCAACTAAGCTTTGCATAGTTCTTGTGCACATCCTATCAATTCCCTTGTGTATGGTTGCATCCCGTTCTACATCACATACTGTGACAATGCCAACTTAAGTCTTGAATCCTTCTAAAAATAAAGCAGCCCAAGTTGAGTAGACTACAGATGACAACTCCCTTTTGCTGATATTATGATTTCAACAATCATTAACGAGAATTTTTCCTCATTGTGAAATAGCTTCTGTTCTAATTGTAGGTTCAATTCTTCCTGGTGATCCAGTAATTTTGAACATTGCTAATGATGGGACCAGACCCTCTCTCTCTCTCTCTCTCTCTCTCTCTAATCCTGATGCATGATACTATTTTTTATTCTTCTTAACCTGCATATCAATATTCAATTCATGTAATAACCAGAAAGATGTCCATCGTGGCCCTCTTTCAGGTTTATAGCATTTGTATATGGCATTCTTTTCGAAGCACTCATGATTAGGACTTACACATTAAGCAAGTTTTGATCCATTAAAAAAGGTCACTCCATAATGTGAAGCAACAAATCATGGACATGTAGATAACATAAACAAAAGAAAAAGTGTCGATCGTTCGAGTGGCCGTAATGCTTTTAGTATTGACTTTATTCAATGTTGCAAATAATATGCCATATAGTAAGAGGGCTGACACCACAAGCTCTGGCAAGCCCCCATTTATTTATTCTCTCTGGCTTCTAGCTATGCTTTGCTTTTACGTAGTCGGAAGGAGCTATGAGTGAGAAGTTAAAATCGAATCTAGAAAGGCGAAATTAAGGAGACAAAAGTCTTTTCCTCAATCATCTTCCACTCATGCACTCGCTTAGCAACTCAGACATGCGATTAAGAGTCATGTCAGCTACTAAATAAAAGCTAAATTTCCATCATATCGGCTGGCTAATCCAACTAACAAACTGTAGTGATCATGATGTTTTGTTCATTGGATTTACTATATTCTTTTGTATATATATTCATCACCTACAAGACTAAACGATAGAGCTATGCAACCCAAAGAAGCCCTGCGAAGATCCTGTGGCAACTGCGTCTCGTGGCGCCAACACAGAAAGAAGAGATCCGGCCAATCGTTGACGTCGGGCAGTAAAAGACGAAGCCCAACAACTGTGGTGGAGTGCTTTACGATGAGCGGGCGGTCCTCCGCACCGCGCGATTCCCGCGCGGTCTGTCTCCCTCTCCCCGTCGTTGCCAAAGAAACACTAAACGCTGCTGCTGCTGCCGCTGCTGCTGAAGCACTCGGTAGACGACAGTAGCAGTGACAGGAGGAGGTACTTAAAAGAAAGAAACGTCATGTGGCGAACAGTGGCAGGAGCTCCATCACTTCAGATGTCCCCCCGTCTTTCCGAACGCCTGACTTGCTACTGTTGGTCGGTGTTCCTACCGTCGTGGAAGTGGTGGCAGCACTCACCTTAGTTTAAGTAGAGTAATGAATCATAAGCACAAGCATGATTGGTTTTAATGGAGTTTTGTAATGGATAAGGGGGTTTGATCCCAGTAAAATGCTCATTTGTCAGTCCTGAGTAAAGCACCCATATGTCGGGTGGCGATCACACATCAGGAATCCATCCTACAGTAAACCATCTTCTGCACGTGTATTCATGTGATAGGAGAATAATTATATGAAATTAAAAAAATAGATTTTTTTATTATTTTTCTACATAAAAGGAATAAAAAAACGTAGAATCGATCGATAGATATATCATGATAGTAGAATCCGAACATTGTCTAACTAAAGTGTCGAAAGAATTATATCGGGAGCCCCTACCAACATTTTACGGGTCTCGGGTTTGACATCGCATCGAGTGTTGGAAGCACTTTGAATTCTATATTTTAGGGTTTACGTAGATAATGCAATCCTAATGCATTGGTAGTAGTTAGAAAGTTTGAATAATGCTGTCACACCTATCTAGCTCGTCAAACTCATAACAAATAGGAAGATTGACAGCAAAATTATATCATATAACGAAAATAATTTTCATCGATCCTCCAATCTTAAGTTCCACGTGATGATGAGTTAGCCGGCACATGTGGAAGAGTACTCGAACATGATTTTAATAGCACATATCATTCTTATCAGCTTCAGCTTTTACATATGAAATGAGTAACCACAGTTACAGGAGGAGTTTATGGAACCACTAAATTTGTGGCAATCTGTGCCGCGTTAAACTATACCAAAAGAAAATAAAGAGTGTCACGATAATGGCCACATTCTCTTCTCCCTTTGGAACCATACGCCAGTCTGCAATCCGCAGTGGCATGTGGGCTTGCAGATCCAAAAGGATTCCATGAGTCACTCACACCCAACAACGAGAAGATAACATTGTTTATTATTATTGTTATGTTGCAGAAGAGGGTTGAAGGCTCGTCGGAGCTCAAACTCATATCATTGTTGGCCGGTGGTGGGAGGGTCTCCGTCAGTTGTGCTCAAACTCCTATGTGATCGTGTGATCCCCCGTACAAGATCAGGCGTGGGGGCATCAATCACCGTACGAATCTTGAGTCTAGTTTACTCGTGCGGGCTTTACTACGATTTATTCCGGAAAGCAAATTAAGGCACCATTGTCACTGTATCTTTCTCTTCTCTTCCTCAACCTCAATCATTCATAGCATACCATATTGTTGTCGCACTCATTCAACCACCGCTCCTCGTCGTCACCATACTGCCGACGAGGTGGTTGTTCTTTCGGAAGAGAGGAGGAAAAGGTGGGGAGGATTCAACCATAGATATTAGTGGGCCAAGGGATAGAACACACCAAGTAGTAAGCCTAAGGCATATGAGACGAAGGTATAGTAGAAATGCATAGAAAAATTACAAGAAAAGAACATTAAGAGTTATGTTCGACATGTTATATATTTAGCATCTCCCAAACAGGTACTTAGTACATAAACACATGTATGCATGCATACATGCGATCTTATTCGACAAGAAGGGGTTCATGAAGGCTCACGGATTGCTCATAATGCCTTTGTGACAGTGTGCTAAGCATTCTTCGTTGGATGTATAGCATTCGTCGTTCGCAACACAACAGATGCATTTCCTCGAGTCCGTCAGTTTACAGTCTCGCCAAATGCATGGGAAGTCCGAGGCTATCAGAATAAGAAACAAATGAATGAATTAGATACAGATTAATGCACCAAATTAATTCTACAATGAACACCTAACAAATTATATTATTCATTCCATATATTTACTCTCGATAGTTATCTTATATTATTTATATCATAGCTAATTGTATTATTTATGTCTACCTACAAACGTGAGACCTATTAATGTTAGTCAAAAGAGGTTAGATTATTAATGTTAGTGATACGAGGAAAAGTAGATAAAGAATTAAAAAACTTTAATAAAAATTATAAATAAAAAATTAAATATTCTAAGTTTAACATATAATCTTTTATAAATCTTGATGGTGGCAAATGATGTATGTTGCATATCTCAAATAGTTGAAACATATATTTTTATTATTATTATTGATAAGTATACTCTAGAGACTCATATTTATTTACTCATCTAATTTTTTTATTAAACCTTTTCCTTTTATATTTTTACCTGATTTGAAATTGATGTCACATTTTCATATGTTATCGAAATTTGGTGAATAATGTGATAGAAATAAAATATTTATTTTTTGGCATTGTCATGACGATTATAACCAAGTGATATGTTGACATTTAATTTGAGTTTGGAAAATAAAATTAAAATCTATTGCAGGTAATTTGGATCCATGTTTTTCCCCCACTGTTCTCTGATTTCTTTTAACATGTCATTTACTAAATTCTCTAATGTAAATTCTTGATGTGTTCTAATCGAAGGTAAAAAAATAAATAAAACTAATTACTCTCATTTTGAACG